ATGCGAACTGGCCCTCCGGGGGAGTCCATTTAGACTTTCGAGTCTGAAGTGTTTCGAAAGTGTCTTTGTTCGAGGTGTTAGAATCATCCTCTTTGTCGTGAAAAAAGGCTTTTAATTGAACGCGGCGAAGGAATTTTTCTACGTCTTGTTTAATTGAGAATTCGTCCGTTGTTTTAGAAATGGGAACGAAATTTAACGGTGGCTAATTTACCATTTCAACTTTGATATATCCAAATTATTTCGTTACCCCCACCGACGCAGCCCCAAACAGTTTCTTTAGAAACTATCAGCCTTTATGCCTGGATATCAGCCTCGTTTTTTTTGTTTGCGTTTTTATTGACCTCGAAACAAAGAACTCGGTCAATATCCAGCCATCTAGACATCACGCTCGGTCAATGACGCAATGATTTACTGTCTGCCATAGAATTATCACATCACTTCTAAGAATTTGGTATCTGATCAAACCGGGAATCCTTTAGTTGATATTTTTCTTTATTCTCATGACTTTTCTGCTCGATATTGTATCGATATTGTAAGGAGAAATTCTGTCTTTGTCACTCATGGAGTAATTAACCAAAAGGGCTCACGTTGCACATATAACTGATTATGCAGGCTAAAGTACTCAGCCTGAGCTTAATCGGATTTAAAAATACGAGAAAGACATTAAGAATTTTAATTTTCATTTTGCCTGTAAAGTAAGAGGGGATCAGTCCTCGCCCTTAATGTAATCTGGGCTTCGCTTATTATCTGCCCATCTAGTGGACGAAATCGTTAAGACTTTCAGCGGCTCAAAAACCGCCTGAGGAGCCTAAAATATATATTTAGGTCCTTAAACACAACTGATGATAACTTCATGAGCAACTTGAAGTTTTTTAACGAGAATTTTTGCTGGTAATGACTTCATGAGCAACTAGTTTGAAGTTTTCCAACGAGAATTTTTGCTTTTCGGGAAGATCATCAAGTTTGTTTGCAACACTTTATAATTACTGATCCCCATGAAATTTTATTGTTCTCTCTCTGCATTAAATCAACGATTGTAGTCTTTAAGATGACGAAACAACTGTATGAGGAAAACGGTCCTTTATGTTAGCAGGGAAATTATCAGGGGTAATATAATTAAACGCGCTAACTAAGCATGCTGCAATATTAAAAATATTGCAGTGTCCAGGCTGCAAAATTAAAAATACTGCAGTGTGCAGGTTACAATTATTAGATATATTGCAACTTGTTTTAGGAAATTTAAGGTATAAAGCGCACCAAAACTGATAGCTTACCACATTGTCAACATTACAGTTTGCGTTTAACTCTCGTTCATTGCAACTTAATTTTTTGTTTCGAAGTGCCACTTTAATCAACTAAAACTTTCAAACACTGAAAATAAATACAGTCACGGAGACTGATAGTATGAAGCACAATCTATTGCATTAAGAAGTATTATATTCATCAGTTTATTTCTAGGAAATAACAATTCTAGTGGAATTAGTGCTAACAACTACTGACTGATTACTACCCTCTTGATCGCATTTTTCCGGACTTACCATTTTAACCTCTCGTGCAGTATAAATTTCCCTAGCACCGTTTTCGTCCTTTTTCTCTACATCAATTACAGCCTTTTTTGAAAGAGAACCCTGCAAAATTTCGCTTGCTTCCCTTTTGAGTGCTGATGAGGTACATTTATATGCTCTTGACACCATCGGAAGACCGATGACTGGTCGTTTCTAGGATAAGTTGTTCTGAAACACCACCATCATACAACCGCGTAGCACAAGAACGCTTGAGAGAGTGATTAATGTAGTGGCCAACGAACTGCGCTTTTTTCATAATTTTCTTTACAACATTTCCTAAACTTTCTCTCCCTGCTGCCCTTTTGTAGTACCATATTTCCCCATTTGACTTTGGCAAAGCGCGCAAATAAAATGCGTTGTCGTTGGCTTCATTTGGCACGTGAGACAAGTATTGTTTATACAGCTCAACAGGGCATCGCTCAACATCTGTCAAATTCTTATATGCCCGGGCAACTTTCCTTTTGATACGCAAATAGCTCAATCCCCCATTATTTGTCTTACGGATATCCTCGGTATACTGCAAAAATTCACGCCCCAATTCGTCACACTGTAGAGACAACTGTGAATTTCTTAGTCTCAAGTTTCTGTGTTCTTGCCCAGCCCTCAGAGCAAACTGAACGCCTAAAACCCAAACCAACGTATCGCGAAGTAATTCTGCATTTCCACTACCTAGAAAACCATGTTCCCACAAATAGTTTTCTTGTTCCTGTGTTATCAAATTTGCATGGTTAACATCTACTCCTATACCTTGCCGTGCTCTTTCTTTCATTATAAAGTTTAAAGCAAAATTCCGATTTCTAATTGTACAACCTTTCTTGTCGATCAAAGTTATATTTCGCTTACATTGCACACGTAAATACGTTTGAATGCTACTCAAAATTTCATAAATCGTCTTTCCAGGATACTCTTGGCCATCTTCCTTTCTCACTTCTGCAACAAAACGAGCCAATGTAAAGTCCTACATCTCGTCGGACATCTCGTCTATATCTTGTTGAATTACAGCCTCGCCACTGTAATCTTGTTTCAAAACCGCTTCATTTCTCTGCTTCTTCCACTCCTCAAAGACTTTCAAAACCCACGCCCATTTCTCGCATTCTGAAGCTGTAATTGGCGTTCTAAATCTTTGCCTATTTAAAAAAAGAAAATAGAAACGCCGCCTTCAGAAGTCGATAAAGAATTAAAGCACTGACAGAAATGTCTAAACGTTACACTACATTACCTCCGATTTCTGTTGAAATATCTGCCTTCGTAGAGCTCTGTGTAGTAAATAATCCCTCGTCTTCCAACGAATCCATCCTCTTTCTAAACCCAGGTTCGCACTGAGTAAAATGACTGAATTCTCTGGCTTATAAAGTATGCAAATTAGCAGTGTATCACGCCTTGCACGAATTAATTCCATCATTAGAACTGTTTTGAACAACTATAACAACAAGCTACAATAACAACCCTCGGCACAATTAAAATTTAATATATATTCATCGCAACAAAGAACAATAGCAATGAGCATCACAATCATCACACATAGGTGCGATGACACAGAACAATAGGATTTCATGGGGATCAATAATTATAACAGATAATTACTTCTGCACATGGCATTATGAGAAATATTGCAGCCAGCTTCGGCCTACGGCCTCAGCTAGCTGCAATATTTCTGAGGCCGTAGGCCGAAGCCGGCTGCAATATTTCTCATAATGCCATATGCCTCAGTAATTATCCATTAAATAATCTGCATTTCAGGCGGAATTATTTTGCATTCCATGCCTGAATGCTTCTTTCCCTGCCACGAGATTGGAAGGAAGATGTAGTTACCAAGGTAACGAGATGACGTTGGCGTGTAGCTCTCACGCGATCACGCGATCTCTCAAACACCGTATCGCTACAAGGCACTGTCTGATGTATTGTTGATATTCGGAAGTACAGCGAGATCCTTTCCTGTCGCAAAATGGTTGCCCACGCTGACATTCTTCTGTTAAAGTGTGCTCAGTTTCGAAACGAAAGTCAATTTATCGATGTTCAATTAAAAGTTGGTGAAGACATCTTTCCAGCTCATCGCATCGTGTTGGCTGCGAGTAGTGATTATTTCTACGCCATGTTTACAGACGGAATGAAGGAGTCCAACCAGGAAGTGATCGAGCTCAAAGATGGAAGCATCTCACCAGATGTTTTAAAGATTATACTGGACTCTGTGTACACTGGAGAGCTTCGTGTCGACAATAAAACTGTATCCAAAGTTCTTGCTGCCGCAGATCACCTTCAAGTCGCAAGTGTTGTTCATCAGTGTTGTACTTTCTTGTTGAAGGAGTTCGTGAAGATTCGCTTCGACTTTGAAACTTACTGTCGCATCTGGGGAATTGCGTCGAGCTATAAGCTGAAAGATCTACAAGACGCTGCAGAGTGTGCTGTGGCTAAGATGTATAAAGATGTCTGCGAGAGTAAAGAATTCCTAACGCACATCGATGGAAACCAATTAGTCAGCCTTCTCAGTCGAGATGACCTCAATGCACCTTCGGAGACGTTCGTCTTCAAATCAGTAATGCAGTGGATTAAACACAAGAAGGAAGAGAGGATGACAGTCGCAGCCAAAGTAATCGGAGCTGTACGTCTGGGGCTGGCAGACATTGGAGTTGTGATTGATGATTTGAACACGAAGGAGATGAAGCAAGTTCCCGAGATTTACACGCAAGTCCACGAGGCGGCAATTTATAATCTCAGACCTTCCCACAAACCTCAATCCGCTACGAAACAAATAAAGCCACGATCAAAGAGCCCGGTGAGTGAAGATGAGATTGAAACTTAAATGTGAGACCGAAAAGGCTACAGTGGAGATTTGTTTTACATATAATGTATCTAAGACGAGAGTAATCAAGTTTGAAATCAGCAGTCCATGTTGTTTTCCATTATCCTCAATTGTCCTCGTTCATTTCGGTTATTTTATTCACGGTCATCATATTGGTAACCTTGCGATTATATTTTAGGTTCTCGTTGCTGTTTCGCCTCAGGCTGGAATACAGTACTTCAACGTCGAAGCTAAGGCTTGGAAACTGCTGCCAATGGCTACACCGCCAATTGAGGCCACTCACTGTTACTGTACATTATCTGTTGGCGATAACTTGTTTGTTGCCGCAAATGACTCCATTGGGTACTGCCTCTACCACTATGTCCAAGAGGCAAATGTGTGGGAGAGACTTCCAAACCCATGTGGTGAAATAAAAAATCTGTGTCTTTTAGAGGACTACTTGTATGTAATCCTTGCCAATCCCAGCCTTGCTTCTTACCGCTACAATTTTGTTAAACGTAAATGGCACAACATTGGTGGTGAGTCCATCGATAATGCTCGTTCGCCCTCTAATGACTTGGGTCGTGAGTCCATCGATAATGCTCGTTCGCTCTTTCATGACTTTGGTCGTGAGTCCATCGATAATGCTCGTTCGCTTAGTGGTGCAGCTGTCTTGCATTCAAAAGTGTTTATTCTTTATGGGTGCTACACTCTTACGCATTTCGGTCGGGAAGTCTCCTCAGTCTCGCCGGCAGTTTTAACCTGTTTTGATGCACAAACAAATAAGTGGAAGACAGAGAAAGCAACAACCAATTTTTGTCACTTCGGATCCAGTCTTATAGTGGTCAACGGCAAACTTTACGTTGCTGGGGGTAAAGATCGGATTGACAGGAATAATCTTCCAAAAGGTAACCACGCATCTGTAGAAATGTACAACGAAGAAACCAACACCTGGTCTGTTGTTGAGCAAAAACGCATTCCCGCCAGCATTCGTAATGCAGTGGAAATAGAGGGGAGGGTGTACTTTTTCATCAATAATTTTCCAGTTGACAGTGGGATTAGAATCGCACATGGGAGTCTGGATTCTAAATGGGATGACTTAGCAAAAATCGACCAAAATGCAGTCCTTGGTTTCATGGTTGTGAGGAGGAAGGATGGGATGTGAAACACTAAATAGTGGACAGGGTGAAAGTGCTCTTACTGTATGCATTACTTTCGCCAGTTGGAACACAAACCTGACGTTTTGACTCGTAGTGCAGTTATTCATTAAGTAATTACTTAGACTTATACCATTAAAAATGATGTAAAAGTAAAGGATTCTCAAGGACCCCTTCCGCTCTTGTTCAAGCACTTTATATGTAGACATATTGTTACAATGTACATCACAAAATTACTTGGAATCTTGCTTCTTTTTAAGGAAAATGTGAAAGCGGGCCCACAAATACCTGTGTTCCCGATTAAAAATAGATGCTTTGATCATTTACCCACATAGCAGTGTGTATAACAAGGCCTTTTCGAAGGGGTGAGGGGCATTCGACTCTAGCGTTTTAATTAACTAAAGAGGTACTTCAAGACATTTTATTAGCAGTATTTTTCCATACTAGACAGAATGGAGGCGGTTGGGTCGTGTTCACCTCGTAGATATTCCTTTTTACGTCCTTGACTAGATTTTATTTTAAGTAACTTTTACTCTGTGTCGTATCGTTACGTAATCAGTTCATAACACAAGTGATAACAGCTACCTGTAATTTGTAGATATCAATATTTACCAAAAGAAAAAAAATCCTCTGAACTACTTGTTTTGTTGCTTTCTCCCCTTCTATTAGGTGATCCGGAAAATGTACGCATAGTATTTTTGAGCGGTTCTCCTTTAATCTACACACCGCTGATGAATTTTAGAACAACAATATGAGATGTACTTACGCCTTCCATTTCAATGTGCAAGTTCATTCGCAAAAATCTCCTGCATAACCAGTTAGACGCGCGTTTATGGCAAAAGCGCGCGTAGACGCCTGGCAGCAGAAAATGAGAGTTATTCAATAAAAAGCGTTCTGTCATCGAATTTTCCCACAGAAGACAAGGGATTGGTTAGTCGAGGAAATTTCTCAACAAGTTAATAAACGATACCCGATTTGTGCGGGTCCAGAAGGCTTCTCACATCTACTCGTTTTAATGACTATTAATGTATGAAAATTATCTATCTGAACTGCGCTTTTAAGAAATAAATATGAAAGCTTTCTTCGCAGTAATGAACACTACTTAAGCACTAGTGAAAATAGAGCACCTTTACAGTTATCAGATTTCAATCTGATAACTTACTCTCATATCTGGGAAATTCCTTAAAGCCGTGTGGCCTTAAATATCTTCAAGAAGCTACCGAGAGAGCAAAATGTAGTATGTGAAAGCGAAGAATGTTTGGCACGCATTGACGGAGATCAGTTACTCAGCCTTCTTAGCCCAGTCACCCCAGTGCACCTTCGGAGACATTAATCTTCATATCTGTGATGCAGTGGATTAAACACAACAATGAAGAAAGTATGGTGGTTGCAGCGAAGATTTTTGGAGCCGTTCCTCAGGGGCTGGTGAGTATCAAAACGTGAAAGAAGAGCTCAACACGTAATAAATGCGATTGATTCCAGAGGAAAATACGCTTTTGCTTGAGTCACTCCTGTACAGCTACGACTGAGCCTTCAAAAAGCTCCGAGTTCGCTACAAACAAAACAAAACCGAGTTTCATGAAATCGTTAACGACGTTACTAATCATTCTAGATCTCAGAAAAGGTCCTAGGCAGGGCTAACACGACTCACGGTTGGCTTCACTCAGTGGTCCATTATTACAATTGCATTATTAGAATCAAGAAAGGAAGCTGAAACGCACTGCACTCTTTTACTAAGGCACGAGCTATTTTTAAAGTCAGAATACTCCAGTTTGGCAAACACCTGATACGGTTTTCAAACAAATAAGAACTACAAAATAAGATTATATAGAATGCCATAGACAGGTGCACGTGTAGGAATACTATATGTGCGAGAAGAGATTCGAGGTAACAATTTGACGCCGTTTGGTGAAAAAAGGTCGAAGTTATATGGAGGGACTGCAAAGAAGCAACCTAATTTCATATTGTAATCGATGTCAGTCAGTGAGTTTAGAGTACATTTTTTGCATCAAATCGGTTTTTTTCGTGTCATCCATATTCTCGATAGGTTCTTGTGGCCATTATTCCTCAAGCTCAGATGCAATACTTTGATTTTGAAACCAAAGACTGGAAACCTCTACCATCCATGGCTCCGTTGACTGAAGCAAACGCGTGTTTCTGTGCAGAGTACGTTGGTAACCACCTGTATGTAGCGGCCAAAAAGGAGGAATATTTTGTTATATATCGTTATGGTACAGTTTGTAATACCTGGGAGGCATTTCAACCTATTATCTAGGTTGTAAGCATCAGATTAATTCCTTGTGTTCTATTGATTATCATATCTATGCAATTAGAGAATCGATGCCACCCCATAGGGTTCATTGAAAAACAAATAAGAGCTGGTGTGTAACTTAATTTTCCACTGGCGGCGCTTGTCCGAATGCATTTTGTAGTAAAGCGTCCGTAGTTTTCATCTCATGTTTGCTCGTAATTTAATGTGTAAGGGGCCAAACAAGATATAGCGGAAACTGGTTTTCTAGCTGGGATGAAAGACCTGCCATGGTTCGTCGATTTGATCCTGGAGGAATGAAAGGAAATCTAAGATATCAACTCATAGTGCTTATACAGAACCAACCTTTCGTAATAAACGATTGACTATGCATTGCAGGAAGAATTATTTCGATTGATTGCAATTCTGGTGCACCTTATGGTACAAGTGCAGGTGGTGAATTTACAATGAGCAAAGCAACAGTGGATCTGTCGTCAGGGAAAGTCACATTCCTAATAACAATCTCGGTACAGTGGAAATAGAAGAGATGGTGTATTTCATCATCAATAATTTCCCAAACGACAATGGAATTAGGATTCCACTTGGAGAAGTGTGTCCTGTGCTTAAAAATGAATGGGAGAAACTAAGAGAGGTTAATGTTAATGACGTAGTGTTGTGCCATCGGCCGATTAGGTTCCATTGATAAACATAAGCTTTCAAAGAAGAGTATATTTTCTCCCCAAGCAAAACAATATCCTGCCATGGAACTCCTTCTGAGTTAATAAGTTGTCTTCTGTCTTCTTTGTGCTTTTTCTCTTCAGCAAACTTTTGACCAGTCGGTAAACAAAATTGTTTTAGAATAAAATATCATAACTTGATTCTTTGAAAATTATACCTGTCTTTTGTTGACCAGCTGGGAAACATATTAGTACAAATTGATTAAGAAATAGGCTCCAATCTACATAAGGAAGCCAACTATTTGTCACCTTAGAATGTATGGATAATCATAAGTACTCCTGGCAAAGCCAGCCAATGCTTGAGAGGATTTCAGATGGAAATTTAATGCTGTCCTCATCCATTTTGCTTAGAGGCTTGACATTTAAGAAAGTAGCGTCTCTGGCAGATATCCTTAATTAGAAATTTTTTAGTGAGAAAACGTCGTATAATATCGTATTAGAACAAATACGTACAAATACAGCAGCACTTTTTCTACAATCGCATGGTTGCTTCGGTACTCAGTTGACAGCCCAGGACCATAATGCCAACATTGGCAGTCAAAAAGACTTTGCATCCTGGGGTGCCAACCAAGGGGAATTGTAATACAAATTGGTCTTTCCAAACAAAAACAAAACAAAACAAAAAACCAAGACTGGGTGGCAAAGCACATGTCTGAGAAGACAAGCAATGGTCATCTCTGGCCAATGCTTGATGTTATTGTGGAGAGAAAATGCCTCAAACCACAAGAGAGGCCAAACAGTCACAGCACCACACTTTCCTGCAAACATCGCCAGCAAACCTCGGGGTTATAAAGCAGATGCCATAGCTAATCATTCATCAAGATCTACGAATAATTAAATACTATAAATGTGTGCACTTTATAAGTCTACAAATATAAAATTAGTCGATAAAATAATCAAATGAATATAAAAGTGATCTGCACAGTAGAAAAAAAAAAAAAAAAAAAAGGATCAAAGTCAGGTTTGTGTCATTCAAGCCAAAGAACTATCCCTGGCAAATTGCATCATTTAATAACAGCAGTAGGGATGATATTCGTTTGTTTGGCTCTGCATGGCTTTTTAGTGGATCACTATTCGGAAATGTATTAGTAATTCATATCCGTAATGAGAGATTGTATATTTTACGTAAATGTCAGAAAGAAACCGTAACATAAGAAAATAAGGGCTACTGATGTGATACACACAAAAGATATGTCACTAATAACCATTAACGTAAATTTAACATCAAAGTTCGAGATCTGCCCATCGAAACCTTTCGTGATTATAACTCTAATCGGGAAAAGTTTTCCCTATGGCCGTCACGAAGCAAGCTCACAAGATTCGTCGACGGTTTTTCCCTAAAACTCCTTGTGCCCGCCAAGTAGATTGTCAGTTGGCTGCCAAACGCCAAGTTCTAGAGAACAGAAGAAGGAAAATTACAAAAGCGATTGACCTAATTACGCTAAGAAATAAAAAGACAGTTTACCTGTTGACGATAGGGTCGAGAATTGGATGAGCCCGGCCGCCTTTTGTGGATTGCAACCATCACCGTGTTAAAAGCATCCGTGTTCAAGCATGCAATAGTAAATTTTGGATGATGATAGGAGATACATTTTACACCTAGCAGTACCCAAAAGGAAAACAAAAATCAAAACATTTTCTTTCCATCACTGTTTCAAATAATTAGATGAAAAATAAAAAACTTCTAGTTGTCGTAAGAAGGTTTATAACAACGATGGAGTTTGCGATTATGGACCTTCTGTGACTCTTTGCAAAGAAGCGGCCAAAGAAATACAAACAAATACAAAAAATAATCCCTTAATGAATACAAACCGGAATTGTCGAAGCTTTCATTAAGCTCCTCTAGTTCTTGGCAGCAGAAACACTCCTCTACCAACGGCATAGGCACACGCGCACCGCACAAACACCATCATTCGGTGTTTTCCATTCTTGAACTTGCATCTTCTTCATGGGCTTCTGTCTCCTATTCTTCATTTTTTTACCTGAGTGGGTTCTTCGCCAGGTTGATATGTCGGTTCGAGCTGAGACGGCTCAATTCCACTCGTGACGAAGAAGCAATTTGTCTTACAAATAGGCCGAACGATACAAAAACCTGTACCAATCTCTTCTCAGTGTTCCCCACATATACGTCACGGGCTTTTTTGGAAGACTGCTGAGTAAACCTTGTGCCCACGGTTTGAAAGCCAAACAGTGCGAAATACAAACTTTAAGAAAATATTCCTCAACAAACAGAAGGCTGTACGTAAACACAATAATGATCACAGTAGCCTTAATTTTGCGCGAAAACGTACTCGCATATTTTCCTCGGACATAATCTGTCCCTCGAAGCTCAAAGCTTTCCTTGAGCTTCGCTCTCAGAAAACCGTTCCAATTTTGTTTGGATAAATTTCGATCTATTTACCACCTCGAGCTTTTGTCGTAAATGCCATCATTGACACATGCCACTGTTACTGCTAAGAGATGATAATCGGGTTAATGCCCCAACGTGACCTGATTTCGATATCTTTGCAAAATAATAGTTGCATTAATAGGCGTACTCCAGTGGTAACTAAGCAATTACGACAGGCGACAGATGGGAATTAGCATAGTTTTCAGTGGGAGGTCATGTGAACTCGTCGCAGATATCGTAGCATTAAGGCGGCAAAAAGATGTTGGCCCATCGTGGAATTCTTCTCTCTAAGTGTTCCGAGTTCCGTAGAGAAGGTGAATTCATTGACGTACGTTTGAAAGTGGGTGATGCTTTTCCCAGCTCACCGAGTTATTCTCGCTTCGTACAGTGATTATTTCCACTCCATATTTACTGATGGGAAGGAAGCCAACCAGGAAGTGATCGAAATGAAGGATAAAATCATTTCACCGGGGATATTCAAGATCGTTATGGACTCCATCTACACTGGTGATCTTTATGTTAACCAGAAGAGCGTATTTGAGGTTCTTTTCACAGCTAGTCAGCTTCAGGTCGCAAGTGTAGTTCAATTGTGTTGTGATTTCATAAAGAAGGAATTCATAGAAAACGGAATTGACGTGAAGAACTACTCCGTGCTTTGCACAGTCGCCGAAAGACTCGGTCTGAGAGATCTACAAGAGGCAGCCGAGACCAAGATGGCACCCTTGTACAAAGATGTTTGCGAAAGTAAAGAATTCCTGACTCATATCAGTGCAGCTCAGCTACTCAGCCTTCTTGGTCGAGATGACCTCAATTCACCCTCCGAAGCTTTCGTTTTCAAATCGGCGATGAAGTGGATCAAATGCAAAGGTGAAGAAAGGATGGAAGTTGCTGGAAAAGTTATCGGAGCTGTTCGTCTTGGGCTGGTAGACGTGAAGATTGTGATTGAAGAGTTAAAAACAGAAGAAATGCAGCGAGTTCCGGAGGTAAACATGATACATCTGCAAGAATCCATGATGCATCACGTCATGCCTTCTCATGAGTTTGCTGCTGAGAAAGTGAACCTCGATCAATGAGTTCTATTGAAGTCAAACGTCCAACGCACTATATGTCGTTTAATCGATTTCACGAAATGTACGATACAAGTCAAAGCGATGCGAAGCGAGCGGTAGAAACGTTGTATAACTAGGACGGCTAGGAACACGAAAGTCAAAAGCGGAGAAGACTGTAAGCGAACTTGATAAAAAGAAACGTAACGATGGAAAAACACAAGTCAACTGAGCAAAAACGCATGCAAAGGGGCCTTAACGAGACGAAATTATACGAAAACACCTAACAGAATATTGATTAGGTAAAAGCGAGAAAAAAAAACACAAAGAATGCTGTAACGAGAGAGGAAAAATGCGTGTACAAACGAGAAAACAAACAAAAGAAACAAATACAGCCATGCGGCGGTAACAGAGTTCGGAGGGTGAAAAGTTAGGCTCTATAATTGCTTCCTTTATTTGCATCACAGCTTTTCCTAAGATCTCACTTCTTTCTCCACACCATACTCAATTTTCCCACAACTAGGTCCAAGTTTTGAAATCTTATGGAACACAATGTATATGTTATTTTGTTATCCTAATTATATCATCGACAGGCTTCGATGATCATCAATGGGAATCAGTCAATTATTCAGTCTCTCGATCGATGAGGAAAGTTTCCTACTCGGGGGTGTCTATAGTTATGTACAATAAGCCAGGGATTGCTGCGTTTTCCATAACGTAATCGAGGAATACTATATTAATGAAAATATGCATGCGCAACAAATTAATCAGCTGCTCTAATGTATTTTTGGAGCCTAGATCTCCACAGAACTCCACAGTGTCTGAAAAGGGGAATTTTTAATGATTGGCCCTTATTGTTTCAGGTACTTGTTGCCATTTACCCTACAAGCTTTATAAGGGACCCTAAGGCATCTCAAGAGGCTGAACGCATCAAGTCAGCCCGCATCATGCCAATCAGGTACAAAGGGCGTTTGTTATATTTATCAGTGCAACGCATGGCTTATTTTGACGTCGAAGCGAAGATATGGAAACCTTTGCCACCAGTAGCGCAAGTAGATGAAAAAAACTAGCTCATGCTTTTATGCTGAACGTAGTGGAAACTACTTGTTTGTCGCTGAACAAGATCAGCAAAGTGTTTATTCTATACATCGATATGATGTGGTAAATAACTTATGGGTTAAACTACCAAATCACGGAAACAACCACGAAGTTAACAGCTTGTGTTCTGTGGGTGACCATCTCTACGCCATAAGTGAATCAATCCCTCCACAAAAGTACAGTTTGACAAACAACAGTTGGCAATGGGGAGTAGGTTTAAAAGTAGAACACAAGGAAAAAATGAGTACTGTAGCAGCAACAGTAATGAGCACTAGAATATATGTAATTGATGGTTATCGCAGAGATGAAGGTGAAGGAACAAACAACAGTTCGGTCAATAAACCAGCTGTGGTTCATTGTTTTGACGCAAAGTATAATGTGTGGACAAAACTCGCGTCAACCTGCCATCCTCATTTCAATTCCAGTCTCTTTGTTGTCAATAACAGACTATGCGTGGCGGGGGGAAAGTTTTCTGGATCTTGTGCCACCTCAACGGCTCCATTATCGGACTGACAAAGTGGCGACTGGAAAATCACTCCACATTTGTAACTTGCCCCAGCTGCATCCAGCGCCTGACCAGCTCATAAGATTGGCCGCCATAGTTTGTCAATATGGATTCAAACTCCGATTACTGGGGTTCATCTCAAGTTGTTTGAAGTTTAAAATCCGCGAGTTTCGCAATGAAAGACAATATCTGCAATCTTTTGGTAAACTGAACTCATGCAGTTCAATAACCAAACTGGTGGTGGCGTTTACGACAAATGCTCAACAAGTTTAACACGGTTTTGTTTATTTAGTCGATTTTGCCAAGGTTTTACCCGGAACGTACAAATTTTGTCGGCGGTGCGTTTGAAAATTTGCCCGCTTCGGCCAAAATTTGTCAAGTCGCGACAAAACATCCGCACTTATTAAGTGTTGGTGATGACAGAAAATTTGTCCAAATAAACAATTTTGTCGCGAGTGCGGATAGGCCAAGTTAATCTTTGCATCACTAAGCGTTTACCACCGGTAACTATGCAACCATTACAAGTGGGAATTAATGTTTACAATGGGCGGTCACGCGAACCACCTATAAGACATTCTGGTTAGCTTCGTAGTTTCTACAAGCAGATATCTTAGCATCAAAACGGCAAAAAGAAGGTGGCTCATTCTAGACTTCTCCCCTCTAAGTATTTCGAGTTCCGTAGACAAGGTGAATTTATCGACGTACGTTTGAAAGTGGGTAATAAACTTTTCCCAGCTCAGTCACCGAGTTGTACTCGCTTCATACAGTGATTATTTCCACTCCATATTTACTGATAGGAAGGAAGCCAACCAGGAAGTGATCAAACTGAAAGATAAAAGCACTTCACCGGAGATATTCAAGATCGATTTGGACTCCATCTACACTGGTGATCTTCATGTCAACCAGAAGAGCGTATTTGAGGTTCTTCTCACAGCTAGTTAGCTTCAGGTCGCAAGTGTTGTTCAACTGTGCTGTGATTTCGTAAAGAAGGAATTCATAGAAAACAGAATCGACGTGAAGAACAAGAAGATTCAGTTTGAGCAGTGGCGTTTGGCAAGCTGGGGAAAAGTTGAATTTTCTCACAGACGATCCAATGCCTGCAGAAAGGTTCCAATCAGTGGCTGCGACAGTAATGAATTGTAAAATGTATGTAATTCATGGCTATCAAGAACTTAATGGTCGTGAGCGGGTCGATAAACCAGCGGTAGGGCATTGTTTTGACCCCGAGAAAAATGAATGGCAACGTATAGCGCCAACCTGCCATCCTCATTTTGGGTCTAGTATTTTTGTAGTCAATAACAGACTGTGTGTGGCAGGGGGTTCTTGTACAAGCACAGATCTTTTTGGGGCTCTATTTAATTATCCACTTGAGGAAGCGGAAGTGTATGACAAACGTAGGGACGCCTCGTCTATTGTGGAGCAAAAACATATCCCGTCAAGCAACTTAAGAGCGGTTGAAATTGAAAGGAGGGTGTATTTCTTAATTAACAATTTTGCTATCGACAGCGGTATTAGAATTGCTCCGGAGGAGAATTATCCTATTCACTTGGGTGACAGCTGAGAAGATTAGCAGAAGTAAGTAAAGACGCAGTCTTGTGTTATTTGCCTGTGAAGAAAGAGAACTTAAGATAAACAAAGTCGGTGACAAATCCAAGATAAGAATTTTCGCTCAGGTACAAATGTTAACATATGGAATGGAAAAGAAAAAGGTCTAGATGCCTGTTGCAGTGTAGTTTACTGGAAAGCCATGTTGTGATACCTAAACAAATGCACGCTATTAAAATTCACTGTTGTTTCAAAGAAGGAGTTTTAATGGGTGTTCAAGAGAAAAGGTTGTCGTTTGCTTTGTGTGCTATTAGCGGAGGGTATGGCACCTACAAACAAAATAATACGATACATTGATTGAGTAAAACTTTTTGGATAGCACCAAGAGAAGTGGGAAGGAGTCATGAAACAGAGCCGTAGATTATGAGTATGCCTTATCTTAAAGAGCTGCAATAAAAAGGTACATCGATGCCTTTCTTAAACGTGCACTAAGCATAAGAATTAAAAACCGGCAAAGGCCAAGGGATTATAAGCTAATCTCTGGTAAAGACATAATGAGTATCAAAGCTTAAAGCTCTGATCGATTTTATTGTACCTTGTAATATTACCTAATGGCCCAATAACGTTGTGAGTTTATTGACACAAGCTTTTTTTATTGATTAATTTCCCAATTGATAGTGGAATCAGAATTCCACCAGGAGAAAAGTATCCCGTGTGCCTTTAGAGACTTTAGATGAATTGGAGAATCTTAGAAAGGTTGACAGTAACGCAATTTTTTGCTACCTCCAAGTGAGAAGCGAGAGTTTAAAGACAGAGTAATGTTTGTAATGTAGGTTTTCATGAAGGTCAGTAGCGCTCGTTCCCTTTCAAAAGACGTACGTCAAGAGAAACGAGAGTTTAACAGCAGAATAAAGAGAGTTGTTTCCATGTTTAACTTGTTTATTTTCTTGTAATGAGGGATTATCCACAAATTTCTCTCTAAATCACTTTCTCGGTTTTTTATGTTTCATTGTTGCCGGTAACAAGGAAGCTTTGCCATTTGTTATGATTAATTTAATTGAATAATAACTGAAGACGAATTGCTGAATAAATAACCTGCCAGTCTTTTCTTTTCTTCCTTGGTCAGCAATACCTTTCTGGCCATCGAAAGGGTCGAGTATAGAGACAACAGTTCATGCTATTGTAATATACCGGAGAATTATGGTTATGGGACTCATGTGAGCATAAGAATAATTTAAATGAATAAGGTCTTTTAAAAATCGCTTTTTGACGCACTTTTTATAAGAATCTCCTCTGAATCTTATTCGTATATAAAATCACATGCAAAAACGGAATAATAGTCACGGTTGTGGTATATCCACCACGTTCTCAATTATGGCCACATCCGGAGATTTTACAGTCTGTGGTAATAACATCAGCTCTGAGTTGAAGACCTCTTTCTCGGGGTGTAACATTTGTCGTTAAGGTATTTCCTAACAGCTTTGTACGAAATATTATCTAACCGGCCGTGAAAAAAGCCTTAGGCTGTAATTAAATTTGCTAACGTTAACCTCACGTGATTTTCATCCTAAAAGAGCCGCCTCGTGTATGGAGGTCATCACTGCAGAATGCAGGGAGAACTCGATTTTAAAAAGTCATTCAGGGCAAAAGATATGACATAAAGTGAGGTGTTGTGTTGGAAGAAGTTTTAAATGAAGATATAAAGGTTGATGAAGTTATCCGATAGTTTTTGGATAAATTACGATTTATTTATCTCCTCGACCTTCTTCAGATATACCATAATTACTTTCCACTGTAACTGCAAAGAGAATACCGTCGGGCTTATACCTTATACTCCAACAGTGACCCTGACATCGATATCTTTGTAAGTTAATCTTTGCATCACTTGGCGTAGGTACCGGTAACTATGCAACGAAGACAAGTAGTAATTAGTGTTGTTTACACTGGGCGGTCACGCGAATCACCCACACTGAAGACATTCTGGTTTGCTTTCGCAGTTCCCACAAACAGAGATCTTAGCATTAAAACGGCACAAAGATGGTGGCCCATTCTAGAATTCTTCTCTCTAAGTGTTCCAAGTTCTGTAGAGAAGGCGAATTTATCGACGTTCGTTTGAAAGTGGGCGATAAACTTTTCGCTGCTCACCGAATTGTACTCGCTTCGTACAGCGATTATTTCCACTCCATATTTACTGATAGAAAGGAAGCGAATCAGGATCATGATCGAGCTGAAAGATAGAAGCATTTCGCCGGAGATATTCAAGATCGTTCTACACTCCATCTACACTGGTGATCTTCATGTTAACCAGAAGAGCGTATTTGAGTTTCTTCTCACAGCTAGTCAACTTCAGGTCGCAAGTGTAGTTCAACTGTGTTGTGATTTCGTAAAGAAAAAATTCATAGAAAACAGAATTGACGTGAAGAGCTACTCCGTGCTGTGCACAGTCACCGAAAGACTCGGTCTGAGAAATCTGCTAGAGGCTGCAGAAGCCAAGATGGCTTCCATGTACAAAGATGTTTGCGAAAGTAAAGAATTCCTGACTCATATCAATGAACATCAGCTACTAAGCCTTCTTGGTCGAGATGACCTAAATTCACCCTCTGAAGCCTTCGTCTTTAAATCAGTGATGAAGTGGATCAAATACAAAGGTGAAGAGAGGATGGAAGTCGCAGGAAAAGTTATCGGAGCTGTTCGTCTTGGGCTGGTAGACGTGAAGATTGTGATTGAAGAGTTGAAAACGGAAGAAATGCAGCGAGTTCCCGAGGTTAACATACATCTGCAGGAATCCATGACGCATCACTGTATGCATTCTCATGAATTTGCTGCAAGATCAATGCGTTCGGTAAGAAAAAGTCATCTTGCATTTGCAAGTAGGTATAAAACCTGTATTGATTGTTCATATCATGCCCTGTTTACTCGACCAGAGAATTCTCGGTTCCATAAACTCTCACAGTTCTGAACGGAAAAGGTGGAACACTCTGTTTAGTCTATTGTTGCACCAATATTTCCGATTGTGTCGGAAGAGAAAATGTGAAGCTATTGCCGCTTAATTACTTGCTCGACTGATCTCGACTTAGTTTTCATTTTTAAATGTCTTCATGGTCATATTGATCTAACTCGTTCATTTAATTACTATTTTTCCCCTGTTACGAGTCAGACGCGTCAAGCGTGCTCAGGGCTGATCTTAAAGATCAATAATAATCGTACATCAACATTTCGGGATTTCTATTTTAATAGGATAGCAAATTTGTGGAACAATATACCTCATGATGTTAGGCAGGCTGAGTCTATTGACTCTTTTAAGCGTAAACTTAAGCCGTTTTATTTCAAGAGACTTTTCAACGTTTTTGATAGCGACAACTTTCGTACCCTTAAAATAATTTGTCCTAAATGTCGCCGGGTAAATACCCTTGTTGCGTGCACTTCTTAAGCAGCCTATTACTAAATATGTAGTCTATTAGTTAATATTTAGGAGAGGTTGGGTTGGAGCTTAAACCTAGTTGGGGACTTATGTCCTATTGTTTTTGCTCCGGTACTGCTTGTACAAATAAATAAATAAAATAAATAAATAAATAAATGTACAAATAAATAAATGTACAAATAAATAAATAAATAATTAAATAAATCTTCTCGGCCGTGAGCGTAAATTTAAAGCATGGAAGATCCTCGCTTTTTAAAATAAATTGTTAGGCTAACTGATTTAGAAAATTCATCGGCTTTGGATTTGTACTCTCTTCAACTCGCCGATCAGGTAATGCAATCAACTCGCTCTGCCCACCACCTAAGTCCTGTGGATCGAGATGAAAAATCTCTTATTTAATTTGTAACATACTTTCTCCATAGGAAAATATTACAACTAAGTTTAATTTCATGTACCTCGCCGCTACTGCAACTGTCGTTTGTTACGAGGTTCCGTTTTCTTAAGAGTGTAAAGCATTATCATCGTAAACGAACCGTCAGAGTTTAACTCTAGACGTTACCAACGAGGCTTTCTTTTATACAATAATGATTTCATGTTAAGTGAAGAGATCTTTTTCTTGACACTAATTTTTAAAATTATTTTATTCCCAGCTTTAACTAATGATCTCGATATCATTGACTTACGTGCGTCAACGAGGTAAATTTAATTTTTTGTTCTTTTTTTTCTTTTAATTTCAGGTTCTCGTGGCCATCCATCCAACTCCATATTCAAGGAGCAAAAAATACGTGAAGGAGCGAGAGACTGGAGGCAAAGTTAAGAGGAAAACGGTAACCAACGAGTGCTCCGCTCTCCCTTCTCACCTTTCCGAGGACGCTATGGCTCAGTATTTTGACGTTGACAACAAATTGTGGAAGCCTTTGGCATCTGTTGCTCAGCTGGGTGAAATAACGGATGTATGTCATTCTGCAGAATTGATTGGAAATTACTTGTATGTACTTACAGAGGAGCAACGGATAGTTAATGGGCAGTATGTTGTATACCGTTATCACATATTAACTAACACATGTGAGAAACTTCCAAAATTGAAAATAAGGGAATCAAAAGACGAACCAAAAAGCATTTGGCGCAGCCTGGCTAAGATCTGCGTATGCTTTGGCAATGAATATTTGTATGTTAGTTCTCAATCAAATCCTCCTCAAAGATACAGTTTGAGCAATGATGTTTGGCAAGCTGGGGAAAAGTTGAATTTTCTCAAAGATGATCCAATGACTGCAGAAATGTTCCAATCTGTGGCGGCGACAGTAATGCTTTCTAAAATATATGTAATTCATGGCTATCAAGAAGTTAAGGGTCGTGAGCGGGTCGATAAACCAGCGGTAGCACAGGCGGCCCAAGCTCTCTTTGAGAACCACACAAGGAACATAATTTGCATATTTATAAGGATTTGTATGGGAGTTTCTACAAGATATCCACAGAGATAGTTAAAAGAGAAAATATTAAATAAAAATGGCTTACCTTGTTCCATACGTGTGTTGTTTGCTCCTGATTTAAGCGGTTTTTTTTAATCCTGGTTTTCTACCACATAAAGAGAAGTCTTCCCCTCCCCCTCCCCCTCCCCCTCAGTGACCCTGACATCGATATCTTTGTAAGTTAATCTTTGCATCACTAGGCGTTTACCACATGTAACTATGTAATCAATACAGGTGGGAATTAGTGTAGTTTTCAGTGGGCGGTCACGCGAACCACGCATGTAGACATTCTGAGTTTCTACAAGCAGAGATCTTAGCATCAAAACGGCACAAAGATGGTAGCCCATTCTAGAATTCTTCTCTCTAAGTGTTCCGAGTTCCGTAGACAAGGCGAATTTATCGACATACGTTTGAAAGTGGGTGATGAACTTTTCCCAGCTCACCGAGTTGTTCTCGCTTCGTACAGCGATTATTTCCTCTCCATATTTACTGATGGGAAGGATGCAAACCAGGAAGTGATCGAACTGAAAGATAAAAGCATTCCACCGAAGATATTCAAGATCGTCATAGACTCCATGTACACTGGTGATCTTTACGTCACCCAGAAGAGCGTATTTGAGGTTCTTCTCACGGCTAGTCAACTTCAGGTCGCAAGTGTAGTTCAACTGTGTTGTGATTTCGTAAAGAAAGAATTAATTGATAGTGGGCTCAAGGATCTGAAAACTTACTCCGTGCTGTGTACATTCGCCGAAAGACTCGGTCTGAGAGATCTACAAGAGGCAGCTGAGGCCAAGGTGGCATCCATGTACAAAGATCTTTGCGAAAGTAAAGAATTCCTGACTCATATCAATGCAGATCAGCTACTCAGCCTTCTCGGACGAGATGACCTCAATTCACCCTCTGAAGCTTTCGTTTTCAAATCAGTGATGAAGTGGATCAAATACAAAGGCGAAGAGAGGATGGCAGTTGCTGGAAAAGTTATCGGTGCTGTTCGCTTGGGGCTGGTAGACGTGAAGATTGTGATAAAAGAGTTGAAAACCGAAGAAATGCAGCGAGTTCCCGAAGTAAACATGCATCTGCAAGAATCCATGATGCATCATATCATGCCTTCTCATGAGTTTGCCGCTGAGAAAGTTAAACCTCGATCAATGAGTCCGGTGAGTTGAAAACTGAGCTCTGTAGTTGCTTCCTTTATTTACAACACAGCTTTTGTTACAATCTCACTTGATTCCTCGCACTGCGTTCAGTTTCACGAGAACTGGCTCCAAGTTTCCAAAGTTTTGGAACACAATTCATCTGTCGATTCGTTGTCCTTAACCACATCAGCGACAGGGTTAGATGATTATCAATGATAACCATTCAATTATCAATATGTTTCCTACCCGGGGAATCTAAAGTTATTAACAATAAGCCAGGGACTGCCATGTTCCGTTCCGTGATCGATTAAAACTATTTCAGTAGAAATACATATGTCCAAAACATTAACCATCTGCTTTATTATATTATATGTTTTACATATGTTTACATTTATATCTACTCTATTATAGATATTAAAACCAAATACCTTCTTTGCAAAAAAATCATGTTCTTTATTGTCAACTAAAAAGAGGAATTTTAAAGTGATTTTCCCTTGTTTCAGGTACTCGTTGCCATTCACCCTACGAGCCTTTTACCGCGTCGCTATTTAGGTGAAGGTGAAGACGTCCTTGCAATTGCGACTTTTTTGTCTTTGTCACCACCATTGCAGTGTATGGCTAATTACTTTGATGTCGAAGCGAAGCTATGGAAACCTCTGCCATCTGTAGCACCATTAGGTGAGAAAACTACCTCTTGCTTTTGTGCTGAACGCAGTGGAAACTACTTATTTGTAGCTGGACAAAAGCAGGAAAATGTTGTTGTAAAAGGCTCCTTATTAGCTAAACAAAAGCAGGAAAATGATAATTTTATACATCGATATGATGTGGTAAATAACTCATGGGTTAAACTACCAAATTATGGAAAAAACCACAAAATTGACAGCTTGTGTTCTCTCGGTGACTATATTTACGCTATTAGTGAATCAAATCCCCCTCAAAGGTACAGTTTGACTGATAACAGTTGGCAAGGGGGAGAGGGGTTGAATTTCATTAAACCGTTTGGTAGTGGAGGGTCACAAAGGAGGGAAGAGTTAATTACTGTTTCAGCGGCAGTAATGAGCTCTAGAATATATGTAATTCATGGTTATAGAACACGTGAAAACAATCACCAATATCTCGGGGCTTGGGTCGATAAACCAGCTGTGGTACACTGTTTTGACGCAAATTACAACGTGTGGACAAACATAGCGTCAACCTGCTTTCCTCATTTTGGATCCAGTCTTTTTGTTGTCAATGACAGACTTTGTGTGGCGGGGGGAAATATTTGTAATGGTTATGGTGACCCTGCACCGGTGGAAGTGTACCATGAAGGTACTAACACCTGGTCCGTATTGCCTCAGAAACGTATTCCCCCAAACGACTTGGGCGCAGTGGAAATAGAGGGGAGGGTGTATTTCATAATCCACAAATTTCCTGTCGACAGTGGGATAAGAATTCTACCTGAGGAAATGTTTCAAGTTGACTTAGGTGATTGGGGAGATCTAGGTAAAGTCCACTCAGGATCAGTTTTGTGTTATATGCCTGTGAAGAGGGAAAACTTGAAATCAACCTAGCAGGCGAAAAAATTTCAGATCAAAATAAATCATACTAGTACTAAATTTGAGTTTCTCTATGGTATATAAGACACAGAAATGAAACTGATTGGCCTGGTGACTCAATTTTAAGACAATTAGTGGTTCTGC